GCCATAGACCCGCCGACTCGGAGACCGGTCGTGACGATCTCGTCTCCGATGGACGAGAGCGAAGACGAAGACGGCTGCGACGCGATTTCAACCCACGATTCTGAGGCAAGTCGTGTCAGTATTTCATCATCAGCTGCACCGAGTCCCTGGGATGCAAGCCACTGACCGTCATTTCTCCTGCGCGGCCCTGCGACGGACTGCGCTCCGTTTACTGGGACTCTATTGTTCTGACCGGCGCGCTCGTCGCGCTGCTGCTGCTGTCCATCCATGATGCTATGCCTTATTTTTCGACGCCGTTGAAACAGAACAAAATGAAAAAGCAACAAGTTCGTGGCCTTGGTTCGTAAGGGATGAAGTTGTCGTCGACGTCGGGGGATGTGGCTGGACTGCTGTGGGGGGGGGGGGGGGGGGAGGCGCTTCCTCCGTCCGAAACCCTGCGTTTTAAGCAAGATAAGAAGTATACGCTGGAGATGCTTAGCTCGCGGTCCGAGATGTCTGTTCGCGCGACGTCGACGATGGTTCGAGAAAACGTGGTGTACAAAGGTCAGAGGAGCGGAGGAAAGGGAGAAGTTGGAAAGTTAGGAGAAAAGATGCAGCAGACCGCTTCGACTATGGCTTAGCTCACCAAGGCACGCAGGGTCGGTGAGATGGTGTTGAGGCCCTGCCCGTTGGCTGGCTGGCTGGCTCTTTGTTGCAGCACGTAAACGTAGGAGGTTAGGTAGGTAGGGGGTGGTGGTTGAGGGGGAAGGGGATCAGTCTCCATCCAGCAGGCATGCGATACGGCGGAGACTTGGAGAGACTGGAGTCTTGGAGAAATGGATAACGGAGCGGACCAGGAAGATGATGTACACCTGCAGCCCCCGTGTGGTGCAGAGTGACCTGCTGCTTTGGGTCGGCGCTTGTAGATTCCGGCCATCGCACCGTGTCAGGTGCTTGGGCCATCACGTCGACATCAGACGGTGCGCCCGAGGTGATTCTGAGGCATTCCAGCTGCGAACAGCCTAGATAAGGACAGTGCGGATATTAGCAGGTCCATGACGCTATTATAACGGCGTGCTGCGATACTGTTCGCCAGAGTGCGCAGAACCTGGGTTGTGCTGCAGCCAGGCATAATGATCGGTACCGTGCCTCGAATCCCGTACCGTCTGCCGGCCCCCAAACATCCCACCCGCACACGTCTTCCGGGCCGCCAAGTGCTGCGAGGTAGCGGGGTCAGGTGCACGTCAGTGGAGAAACCATACTGTGGGAAAACAGTGGGAAGCGCGAGCTGCGCCTGCTTTACCATCAGCATCAGCGCCAGACCGGCATTAGCATTCCACCCTCATGTCATCGTTGTCAAGCTGCACCGGAGCACCACCGACACCGGCCCTCGACGTTGGGCCTTAAAGCTGCGACCCGGTGCTACAAAACCAGCTGTGAACCTGCAGAACCGTCGCCTGGCGCCAGCGAGCGGTCTGCGACTTGCATCCCGCGACAAGGACGATCCCAAGACAAGCCGTGACACGCCGCGATTGTCGTCTTATAATCGTCCCCTAACTCATGCCAGATTCCACTGACGTGACCTTCTCCTCTCCCCGCCGCTCCACCGTTCCGTTCCCCAACAGATTCGTCCGTTTCGTTGCTTTAAACACAGCAACGCATACTACGTACACATGCGCTCCTTACGTACTGCAACGGCTGAACAAGTTTGCGGCGCTTCCACCCGGGGCGTCTCAGCCCATCCAACGGCGAACAGGTGTTCACCCGTGACGTTGCTGCTGGAGGGCGCGGATGGCGAAGTGACCAATGTCTTCAGTCGCTGTTCTACTATGGTATTATGGGTAAGTAAAACCTCCCGGGCTGGTATCGTGGGGACTGCTGACCCACAGGAAGCTCTGGAATAACTGCTGAATGGCCGGTCTTTCGCCTGTGAGCGATGTACCGCACCTGGTCTGCCCAAGCCACAGATACCTGACAGGGTGGTTTTACTTTGGCCTGCAACCGCAGTAGACTGATGGGAGGGTTGTAGATTACCCGTCATCACGGGGGTGGCTGGAACTGTACCTCGTGCCGCCCAATGACGCACCGTTGCGCGGGAAGCTGAGCCACGAGGTTGCTGGCGAATGGGAGCGAAGTCGGGCACTTCCCTGCTGTGAGACAGCCATCCATAAACTGCCTGAAATGTTAATTATTGCCAGCCACGCCGACCTCACTATATACGTATAGTCTTCACAACATCATCATCACAAAAAGCACGGAATGGAACTGCAAGAACGTGTTCATGGATAAACATCAAAACTTTTGTATTACACTAGGAGCCGATCCCTAAACGCCGAAGTCCTCATGGCCAATATTTTGCCCTGCCGAATAATGACATTCACGGGGAGAAGGTATACTTACTCCATTCTGCGTCGCAAAGCATGGTATCGTTCCAAGTTCAAGAGTAACCGAAGGAGAGAAAACGCCTGACCAGCCACATCAACAGAATACCCATAGGTAGACTGCCGAGAGCAACCCCCAGAGCCCACAGAAGCCGTCGTCATCGTCAAAGTTGATCCCCTCGCGGACATGTCTGAGTATACAGACACACAAGATTCTTCCCAACTTTTGGATAATAAGCCATCTGCCCACTGTGAAGATGTTGCTTATGCAACATGTGCCCTCTTGGTCAACCCACAATAGCGTACAGATCCCACAATATGCCTCTGTGATATACAAGAGACGCCACAAGCCCACGGTCAAAGTGAAATGCCCTCAGGTCCATCATGTCTCCAAGGAGACTGCTCTCAAAGCCCACAATCCCCGCGGGGAAGAAACTTGTCTCGAACCGACAGCCCACGAAGCCCACAGTGTGTACCCGCGAAATATGCCCTCTGAAGTATCATCATCATCGTGCGGCTTGCGTCACCAATTAGAAGGTGATCTTGGAGCCCTTGAAGTCACCAAAGCCACCACGGTTGGTGGAGGAGAATCCACCACGGCCACCGCCGCGACCACCACCACGTCCGCCGAAGTTGCCACGGCCACCACCGCGACCGCCACCACGGCCTCCGAAGCCACCGCGGCCGCCACCACGGCCACCACCGCCGTCACGGTTAGGCTTCTGGCCAGCATAGTCCAGACGGACGGCACGGCCGCTACGGCCCTCACCGAGGTACTGGCCGTTGAGCTGAGAGAAGGCGGACTTGGCGTCCTCAATGCTGTTGAAAGAAACGTAGCCGAAACCCTTCAGGTTGCCGCTGTCACTGTTGACGTTGTTAGTCTTGAGGATCTTTTAACACCATGATGTGGTATGACTTACGGGTCGGTAGGCAGGCGAACGCTGGCGACCTCGGCAACCTCGCTGAAGAAAGCGTGGACAGTGTCCTGGTCGGTGTCGAAAGGCAGGTTACCGACGAACAGAGTCTCGGACTCGGGGCTAACGGTGTCACCGTGCTTCTGGGCGCGGTCCTGGGCACGAGCCTGGTGGTTGCCGTCGCCGGCGGGCTTCTGGCCAGAGAAGTCGATGTTCATGGCGCGGCCAGCGAGGTCCTTTCCTTGGGAGGCCTCGAGAGCGGCGGCAGCGGCCTCAGGGTTGCCGAAGTCGACGTAGCCGAAGCCACGGCTGCGGCCAGTCTGCTTGTCGGTGACGACGCGGGCACCGGTCAGGTCGGGGAACTCCTGGAAGGCCTCGTAGAGGGTGTTGTCATCGACAGCCCAGGCAAGGGAGCCAACGAAGAGGGTAGAGCTCTTGTCGGAGATGTCGGTGCGGGCCTTCTTGCCAGGGATGACGGGGTCATCCAGGGCCTTGCGCTTCTTGGAGGGCTCCTCGGTCTTGGTCTCAGTCTCCGAGGCTTCCTTAGAGTCGGAGGAGTCCTCCTCCTCATCGGAGTCGGAGGAGTCAGAGTCAGAGTCGGAGTCGGAAGACTGTCAGGAGCTATTAGTGGATGTTTACACAGCAGGCGAAGTTGGTGCTTACCTCGGCCTTCTTCTCAGCCTTCTTCTCGGTCTTCTCGTCCTCGGAGTCGTCAGAGTCCTCCTCGCTGGAGTCGCTGTCGGAAGACTCGTCCTTCTTGGCGGCGCCGTTGGTCTTAGCGACACCGTTGGCCTTGGCCTTGGGGGCCTCCTCCTCAGACTCGGAGGAGTCGGAGTCAGAGTCGGAAGCCTCAGACTCGCTGTCGGAGGACTCGGCAGCCTTCTTGGCGGCGGCCTTGGGAGCGGCCTTCTTGGCGGCAGGCTTCTCCTCCTCAGAGTCGGAAGAGTCGCTGGAGTTGGACTCCTCCTCCTCCTCGGACTCGCTGCTGTCTGAAGACTCAGACTCGGACTCAGGCTCGACGACCTTCTTGGCCTTCTTCTTCTCCTTGGTGGCGAGGTCCTTGGCGATAGCCTTGGACTTGGCCTTGGGGCTCTCAGAAGCCTTAGAGACGCCGGCGTTCTTCACCTTGGTGAGAGGGTCAGCGGCCTTGCTGCCCTTGGTGGTAGACTTGGTCTTGCCCATTGTGATTTGTGTGGGTATCAAAGATTAAGGGTATAGAGAGAGGGAAGTAAGGATAGAAGGATGGAAAAGAGCAAGAGAAAGGCTTTTTTCCAGAGATGGGAGGATGCTCGAAGAAAATTTCAGAGGTGTCTCGAGGTGGTAGCTTGACTTATAAGGCCAGGGTCCGGTGGTTGGGGCGAAGGGTCCTGCGACAGAGTTTTTTTTTTGCGATTTGCCAACTTTTCAGCGGGGCGCCCGCGACTGGCGCGGGCGGTGAGCGAGGGGCTGCATGAGCGGTGGGTACGTACCGAAAGCCGTAGCCGAGTCGTGTGCCTGGGGGAGGCTTCGGGCCTGTAGCCTGCGAAGTAAGGCCGCCGCATTCTGCTGACCTTTAGCTTGCTCCTCCAGTCCCGGTGCAGCCCAGGCCAGCCAACCAACCCGGTCCCGAAATCGATCACCACCAAAGCTCAACGTCTCGCCGCGACGCACCCCTCGACCTCCGGTGCCCCATTGACCAATTCGACCCCGTTCCACCCGAGACGACTCGATCCCACCACCAGTCAAGATGCCGACCCCCGAGTCCGAGATGTTCCTGGCCCAGAAGCCCAAGGTCCCGCCGACGTTCGACGGCGTCGACTACGACGACACCAAGGCGTTCAAGCAGGCACAGGACGCCATCATCCGCGAGCAATGGGTCGGCGCCATGATGTTGCGTCTCGTCGGCGAGGAGTTGGGCAAGTGCTACAAGAAGGAGGGTGTCAACCACTTGGAGAAGTGCGGCCACCTGAGGGGTTAGTCTCATCCGGCGCGAGGGCTTGTTGGACAGCAACAGGCAGAGTCAATCCGTTCAGGAGGTCGAACTGCTGACGCATGAATACAGAAAAGTACCTTGAGCTGTTGAAGGAGAAGAAGGTCAAGGGCACACTGTTCCAGCAGCAGAACTACATCACCAAGCAGGCATGAATGAACTATGTCTAGGCGTGATGGTTTATGAGCGTTCCGATGCGGAATACGGCGTCGCTTTGATAGAGGTTCCCGTTGACAACTGGAAGGGAAACGGAGGATCTGGGCCATTTCAATATCATGGCAATTGGCCGCGTGATGGAGATATCCCTCGCGCTATATGTACAAACGAATCAATCAAGGCTTTTTGAAGTTATGCACTTATCCGGCACGGATATCGATTTGCAGACGAAAATGTCTGGATCAGTTGCTACTACTCGAGAAATGGTTCAAACCTTGAAAACGCACTCAATTGATTGTTCAATGGGCCCTGAAAAACCTCGAGGAGTGTATTGCAACATGTCTGTAGCTTCAGTGCACATCACTTGACGTGGGCCTCCGACGCCGGGTGCGCAACAGGCCCGTCCGGCCCGCCCCAGAATTTTTCCACCGCATCCCAAGCTCAAGCTCACGCATTTCGCAACACCACGATCAGGACCCCTCCGTCGACGACCAATACCAAGCGCGCCGTTCCCGTCCCGTCGCGTGCACACATCAGAGAACCAGCATGATTTGCAGAACATGCATGCGGCGAGCCACGGCTCTGCCCCGTCTCCAGCCCAGCGCCGGCGCCCTCCTCGTCAGATCTTTCTCCCTCTCAGCGCGGACAAGAAACGCCGCCGCTGGTACCTCTGCCGCTCCCGATGCTGCGCCAGCACCCCCCGCCAACCCGGAGGCCCCCCCGAAGCTGTCCAACATCAAAGACGACACCGTCAAGACGCCCGCGAAGCCAGTGTCCTCCTGCCCCGCCGGCACCATCCTCAACGGCCTGAACTACACAAAGGGCAAGACGGATCCCGTTGCCCTGCCTGACGAGGAGTACCCCGACTGGTTGTGGACATGCCTCGAGACCAAGAAGGAGACTACAGAGTCTGCGGATGATCTCGCCGCCGAGATGTTCTGTATGTGTGCCCGCCGATCAGACCTAGGAAACGGCTCTTGTGATCTAGTTCCTTTGCTAACATGCCCATGCGCCCACCAGCCAAATCCAAGAAGCAACGTAAGCTTGCTGCCAAGCGCCAAAAGGCCATCGAAGCCAAGCTCCTCGCCTCCGGTGATACGGAGGCCCTCGCTCCCAAGATCCCCATGCCGCAGCAGTCCATCAACTTACCCGGAGAAAAGGGCAAGGACGTTACGCACAACCTGCAAGCCCTGGAAAAGAGAGAAGACCTGCGCAAGGCGATGCGTAAGGAGCGCAAGGCCAAGATTAAGGAGACTAACTACCTCAAGTCTATGTAAACATGGTCTGTGGTATAGGTGTGGGCATGCACGGGATTGCGGCGGTCGCGGGCTTGGGTCATGTACCATAGAGAGCATGAAAAAGGTGGTTTGGCTCTTGTAAAATATCTACTGTCGGCGTCGCCGGCTCTTATATCATCACTTCAATGACGCAACTAGAGGAGAAAGGACGTTGCAAAGCACCTTGGCTTTCAATATTATGCTTATGTGCCTATGATTCTGCTCTAGGCATACATAGCTGTAGAAATGTGTGTGTATGTGACCCACGACAGAGGTCAAACCATTTTGAAGAATGCCCCACGCTATTCCCAGTGCTTCGATGACACCAACTAGTCCTCATCCTCTTCCTCTTCTCCTATAGAGGTCATCTTGAGATGAAGCTCTGCCTTAAGGTCCTTGAGACGAGACTCCACGCGGCCACGCAAGATCTTGTTGCTTATTGTAGCCATCTCAGCCTCCTTCTTGCTGATTTCATTCTTGAGTTGTGTAATATCTTCACGGACGGCCTTGACTTCATCCAGACGGGCTCTGTCGTCGTCATCTTCATCGTCGTCGTCGTCGTCGTCCTCATCTTCTTCGCTCACAGCGGATTCCTCTCCATCGCCACTGTCTTGCGCGTTGGCCGCTGGTGTACCGGTGTTCATCGTCATCGGCGTAGCTGCCTCAAACTGTGTTGCCGGCGTTCCAACCTCGGTTGTTGGTTGATTCATCTCCTCCTCAAAGGCAGCCTCCAGCTCAGCTTCAAGGTCATCGTCAAACAGTTCGCCGTTAGCGTAACCCTCGGCCGGGAAGTAGCCACTATCGTCTGCCTCGCCGTCGGCATCTTGTTCGTCTTCGGAGTACTCCTCGTACGTGGGTTTGTTCTCATCGATGAGTTCGTACTTGGAGGATACAGCAGCCGCGTCGGCCGCTAAAAGCTTCTTAACCTCATTTTCCTTCAGTTCGATCTCCGACCGACTAATGACCTTTGCAAATCTCTGATTGGCAGCGTCGTGCATGGGCGGTGTCAGACCGTGAGGCCATTTGAATCCGGGTTGGATCATCGGCGGTAACGGTACCTTCCTCGCCTCATCCTCACTCTTGACTTGTTGAAAGACGAGAAGCATGTGGCAAATGTCGGCCGACTTCATGAAGGTTTTCCTGTCCCAAGACTTCATGCCCTCTGTGATGGTTGGCAACTCCACCATAACTGCCGCGTAATGCTGGCCTTTGACTATAACCAAAGCGCGTCGGCTTTCGTCGTCGATAAACTTGATGGCAATATCCGCGCCGCCGTCTTTTCGTGCCACGCCGACCTTTCCTTCCTCTATACATTTCCTGACATATTCGCAGTGTTCGCCGGGCATCATACGCAAGATGAACTGTTCCTCGATGACGGGGTCCTTCTCTTGGTCGCTAGCCTCCGAATCGTAGCCATCGCCGGGGGGGTGAACTGGTGGTTTGCCTTTGGCCTTAACCACAATGTGACGGTTGCCTGGAGTCGCCACGGTAGGCGTTTTGAGGAGCTTAATCTTCTTCGCCGACCGGCTTAAGCCATCGTCGTCGATCTCGTCTTGTTCGCGCTTCTTCGATTCGATGAGCTTGCTCGTCGGCTTCGGTTGACGTCCCGCCTTCGTCTTCACAGGTTTCGGTGTGTCGGTGCTGGCGGGCGTTGGCGGTTGTGAGGGTTTGAGCTTGATCTTCGTTGTCGAGAGAGGAGTCGACACTGACGGCGTCGCGGGCGCCCCGTTTGGTTCGCTGAATGATGCCTTAAGCTTCAACTTGGGTCGCGGCGGCGGCGGCGGAGCGCTTATGTCAGGCATATTGAGGAAGGTGTAGTAGGGAAAAGCTTGGATATATCGATTTCGGATGCGCTGCGAGATTCACTAGATGTGGCGATGGGTGAAGCAGTCGCGCCAGGGGTGGCAGGCGCCGGTCGGAGCCTCCCTCGTGACTAGGCGGATCGCATTCGGAGGTGGTAGGTAGCGTATGAAGCAGAGTGCCGCGACAAGATACTTGCTAACGATGGGATTTGTTGACCGTGAGAGGCTGTTTGGAGTGGAAAACCTAGAGTCGTCGCGGAAAGTTCTCTGGGTCCGGTCCTTCCTGTTGGCTTGGAGGTGTGGCGCACCGTCCCTGGACTTCCAGATTCAGTGGACTATTGCAGCGCGGGAAAGGTACCTGGGCGAGGTATCTGGGGTACCTAGTGCCGCAGCCTTGCAGGACACGCGTGGTAAGTTTTAGCGTGACAAACACACCCTTCGCGCCAAACTCCACTAACAAGGTAGGGGGCGCACAAACGTTCCTCGTCGCTTCGACAGCAGGAGACGTTGTCACCATTTTCCATTCTATAACTGAAGAGACTCTATTCATATCTAGAATAACGATCAAACCGGGAACTCTGCTACGGAATATAGTTTACGTCAGGTCTCCCAATGCGCCTCATTCTCGCCAAACAAATACCAATAGGCCCAAAGCCCTTTAATCACCCAGCACCTAGCGAAAAACTTCTCTCCCCATCCTTCAGTTCTAGTCCTCGGCAACATCAATGGAACTGGCGACTCGCGAGACATCCTCCCATTTCAAAGTACCTCCCACAGCAACAACATGTCGCCAACCGTATTTGCTTTTCTTCCCCTCTCTAAGATAATCCGGCAGCACTGTGAGCAATTCCAGTTGGAACTTCTGAGAAATTTCGAAGTCGGAAATGTTCTCGATGAACTTGTACACGAATGCTCGCACTGTATTGAAGTTTGTGGATTTCAGCTGCAGATATGCGTCATGAGCATCCTTCTGGTGCTGGCGAAACTCTTCCATTCGAGTCTTGGACGCCTTCTCGCGACTGTTGTCGGAGATTGACTGCTTTGGCCTGGTTTTCGATCGAGTTTGCGTCGGCTTCGGGGAGCTAGACTGTGGGTGCCCGCGCGTATCTAAGTCAACCACTGGCGAAAGTCCATCCTCTTTTCTTCGCTTGACTGCTACTGCCTCATCTTACAGCGGTCAGCTCATCTGCGAAACCAAATTCCTTGTCGACTTACCTGTCGTGATAGGTCGTTTGAGGTCGCGAACCACAGGCAACGCTGGTGCTGGCGCAGTCTGTTGGCCTGATCTGAGATCTATGTTCCTTTGAAGATTACGGATGTCGTGTTGCACTTTTTCGGCATTTGCGTTTTGTGTGGCCTTTTGTGTATCAAGTTGGCGCTGCATTGCGTCTAGCCTTGCTTCCAAACGCTCCTCTGACTGGCGGAGCTTCTTCATGAACGCCGATGTCTGACCTTTGAGCTGCTTTTCTAAGGCGTTGAGTTCTGCTTGAAAAGTGGTCCGAAAGTTCTCCTTCTCCTTCTCGCTGGTGTCGAGCCGTTTCTCAAAGTCCTCTTGCTTCTGGCGCTGCTTCCAGAGCTGATCATAGAGATTGTAGTACAGCAGCGTGTCTGGTAAGATCGGACCATTGCCAGGAGCCTGCGCATAATGGTTACCATGATTTCACGGACCCTCTTCTGACCAGATCAACGAAAGATTGGAAGGGGCTGCTTTTACCGGCATGGAAGAGGATGTCAACTGATCCGTTGCCATTGGTCTGGCGGGATAGGTCACGCTCATTCTGATTGAATTGTTGAACGAATGTCGGGTTCGCGACGGGAATACAAGACAGCAGCTTCTGGATACCAAAGATTAAGGGGAACGTGGCTAGATTGGAAAATAGAAATCGGAAATGAATGTGAGAAGAAGCCCATTCAGCAGTAAAAAAAGACGCGGGGAGGGATGCGGCCGACACTGTGCGTCGGTCGGCGTTGGGAATCAAACGAAAGGCTCTGATAATGGGAGAGGGGAAGTTTAACGACGGAAGGCAGCCACGTACTAGGGCAGGTGACGGGCTCCAAGGCAAGCGCCGGTGCACGCCAAGGACTGCCTTTTACTTCATATAAGTACCTTGTTTTGGGAAAGAAGGCCCTCGCCTTTAGTCTCCGGCGGCAGGAGTCTCCCCTTAGCACCTTCCTCGGTTGCGGTGACGAGGAAGGAAGCCCCTCTTCAGCAATTCTGTTGACACGCAACTTCTTGGTCTATCTGAACTGTCATGTTGTACTCACCTACTGTTCAAGGTGTCCAAAGGCACAGGAACTGGACGGCTGAGTACCGATCAAAGATGCATCTTCGACGTGGCCCGGCAACGAAACAATGCAATTGAGCGAATTCCATAAGTTGCAAATTAGGGTAGGGTAGTTAGCCGCCTTCCATTATTTCCGTCCAATATCCCAGAACGCGCCGTTCAAACGTGTGCTTGCCCATTCGTCCCTGCCCTCGTCCCGTTCAGACTAGCAGCCGGTTCCTTCCCGTGTCTCGACGACACCCCCTGTCTTGAGTTCCTTCCCTGCGAGGAAGATTCGCCATCCTCAAGAGCAGTCGATGCTCTGCGGTTGGGATCGGTTCTGTTCCCCTTGACGGCAGTCCACTTGCCCACGCTCGTTCCCTTTTCGCGCTCCTCAGCGATCCACCCCAGAAAGAGCGCCACGTCTTTGGCAACCACGCCAAGCACAGCTCTGGCCTGTATCCAAGCAGGCAAGACCCCCTTTGCGTCCGATGCCGTTGCCATGATCCATTCGATTGCGCCCGTTGGCATCTTCCTCACTCTCTCGACGCTCACATAGGCTGCCATGACGATCCCCTTCTCCTTCACCAGTCCGCCGTAGTCCGCCTTGTCGAGATCTGCCATGGGAATAGACACGACGATGAACTCGTCAGCTTCCCTCGCCTTTGCCGTAATGATCAACTCGGGAAATACGCGGTTCTTCAGCGGCATCCCGAGTTTGTGTTTGATCTCAAATACGCAGACCCTGAAGTCGTCCCACGTCGAGCCGCCCTCTTCAACAGCGACCCCGGCACAATCCCAGGCCAGTGCCTCTCTCGCCTCCATGACATTCGGAGTAAACGCCTTCTCGGCCTCAACATGGTCGTCCTTGAAGCACTTTACAAACTCCTCCCAAGCCGCAGTCCCCTTCGAGGGCCTGTCCTTGTGAATACTCCTCCGACAAGCCCACGTCTCAGGAGCATCCACGCCATTAGACAGACTGTTCCTCGCCGCCTCCTTTTCAAGCTCTGCGGCGGGGATAACGCGCTCGTACAGCTCAACCTGCGCCGTCGACTCAGGGTAGGACTTGGTGCCCTTCGCCTTCCACTCACTTGGCCGTGCAGTACCATCCTTGGGCGCGACGGCATCGATAAAAGGGACGGCTTCCTGCAGCACGGCGATGAGGAACGGCGCCAAGTCGGCGGTAGTTGCGCTCGGCGCCGGGAGCTGCTCCGTCCGGAGGCCCCATAGCCGGACCAGGGGCCCCAGGTTCTCGTCCTCCGCGCTCATTCCGACTGTCAGCGTTTCCCTGATTCTTTGACGAGTAATGCGACCGCACGAATTTGCCGTCGCAGGGCGAGTCTCTGGGCTGTTTATCTTTCACGCGGTAACGTCGATATATATCGAGTGACGACGGACGGTTCGGGATGCAATTGACGTTGGATGCGACGTCAAAGGATAAACTCAAAAACCCCCACGCCAGTTGTACGCGGCTGTTCGTAAGGCGATTGCGTGAGTGACGGCTCTGGGTATGAGTGAGCCTAAGGTGTAGGATTGGCATGAGGCGAAGGTTGAGAAGGGGGGATGTCCCGGTCTGAGACGTCGTCCAGACCACCCCAGTTACCGCACTGACTTTGAAACAAAACGCTGTGCCGACCGACCGAACAAGTCCCAGCATGGGGAAGTCGTCAACATCACCATCCGGCCGGGCCCCGCACCCTTGACATGCGCCTGCACGGGGACACAGAACGGCCTGTGAGCTTAAACTTCTGATTGACAATATACGTCAAAATTCATCAGCGCGGTTACGGTTTGCGCCACGGGGATCGGCAATTTTTTTCTTTCTTTGGTGGGAATTGATGGATGTTGGTCGTGATGTCATAACGACTTTTGTATTAATATTATTCGACAGCGACCATCTTTAGTCTGCCATCTGCGCCGTAGCGCTCTCATGTCTATGTCTTTTTTTTGTCTCCGGCCATGTGATATAGTCATAATGGCTTACAATATACATTCCCTAAAACCCAAAACCTGACCAAATCCCGCTCCCACAAAAACTTACGCCTCACGCTTCTCCCAGTAAATGTTGGCAGGCTCCAGAGGCCGTGAGAAGAGAGAGGCATAGTCTGTGCCGATGAGCTTGTCGCTGCCGTCGGCGTTGCGGAACTTGAATTCTCTGACGATCATGGCGGTAATGGTCTGCAGCTGCACGTTGGCAAACTGCTCGCCGATGCAACGGTGACGGCCGGCGCCGAAGGGCAGGTAGGGCGACGCGGCACCCTTGCTGACCAGACCGTAACCGTAATCAACCTTCTCCTCGTCCTCGGCATCCTTGCCGCCAATCTTCGGGGCGTTGGGAGAGTCGGCCTCCCAGCGGTGGGGGTCCCAGACCTCGGGGTTGGGGAAGTAGGCGGGATCGGTTCCAGAGACTCCGGGGGCGGCGAGAAGGGTGTGGCTGGTGGGGATAACGAACTTGGTGCCGGGGACGGGCATGGGAGACTTGACGGCGCGCATGATGGAGTGGATGGGAGCGTGCAGGCGGAGGGTCTCCTTGATGATGGCCTGGTTGAGGGGCAGCTTTGCGAGGTCCTCGTACTTCAGGGGAGGCAGATCGGCACCGAGAACGCGGACTTGCTCCTGGTAGAGCTCCTCCATGATCTGGGGGTACTGGGCGAGACGGAGCATGATCCAGGAGCTGGTGGAAGACGAAGAGTGCTGACCGGCCATGAGGAGAGCGATCATCATGTGGGCGATTTCGTGGTCGGGAACCTTGGTGCCGTTCTTGTAGGTGGAGTTCATAAGGTGGGACATGATGTCAAGACCGTCAGTGCGGCCGTTGTCGCGGCGGTCCTTGATGGCGTCCATGTAGATCTGAGCAACGGTGCGCTGGGCGTGATCGCGCTTCTTGTTCCAGGGGAGAGGCGCCCAGTGCAGGGTGAAGTTGATGGGGGTGAAGCCCATGTCGAGGTCGTGGTACAGAGCAGCGAGGGTCTCGTCGAACTTGTTGCGGATCTCGGCACCCTGGAGCGCGTGGGAAGCGGTGAAAATGGTGATCTCGGCCATCTTCGGAGGCAGGTTGACAACGCCGGAGTTGGCCTTGAAGTCAGGGTTGCGCTTGAAGTAGTTGGAAACCTCGTCGGCGATGATAGGGACGTAGGAGCGGAAGGCCTCGGTGGTCAGGGCGATCTTCATGAACTGGAGGGGCGGGAGCTGTCAGCAACAAAGCTTCCGGCGGGAGAGTTTCCGCGGCAATGTACCTTCTTCTGCTCCATGAGCTTGGCGTTGGGGCAGTCGTAGACGACGTCGCGTCCAAAGACAGGAGTGGTCAAGACGGTGTAGATCTCCTCGGCGTTCACATCCTTGAGCTTGCCGTTGAGAATGAAGTCGTTGCCCTGGGGGCCGACGGCGACGGTGGTTCTCTTGCCAAGGAGGACGAAAGTGAAGATATCACCATACTGTCAGGGTGATGCTTGTCAGTACGGGAGGCTTGTTCCGGAAGTTTATTGCGACACTGGGAGTTTTAGGGTGCGCATACCTTTTCACGGTTGACCTTGAAGAAGGTCGGGGGGTCCATGCCATATGTGATGGTGCTGCCGACGAAGGGGAACCAGTGGAAGACCAGAGGAGGCTCGTTGGCGTTCTTGAAGAGGGCCTGGGACAAGACATTGAGGACGACGGAGAGGACGATGACGGCGAAAAAGCCGACGGTGACCTGCAGACCAGTTCCCAGATTCTGGAACTGGTCCGACAATGGTCCTGCGACCTCCTGCAGGAGACCCATCCTCGAAGGCGCGAAAAGGGGTCGCTGGTAGTGTGAAGGGAAGCGAAAAAGGAGCCAATTGAACGCGGACTGGCGATGTCGTCGAGTTTGGCTGCGATCGCAACTTTCTTGACCGGAGGTAGCACACGAGCAGCAGTGGCGCGAGAGAGAGCAGAGGGCGTAGGTTATCGAGAAGGGGGGGCTACAGAGGTGGTTTTAAATTATCACATAGTGAGATTAGATATCTGCCGCGTTTTGTTGGGTCCCACATTTTTGCGCAGGCAACCTGCGCGATGAGCGAGCCAATGCATGGTCCATATGGGAAAGCTCCCGGCGGTCAAGCGCATCTCGCATATCCATGGAGCCCAGAAGCTGTGACATCTGGCCAGTGGCACGGTAGCCACCCGCAACGCATTTTGGGGGCGTCTGTCCCAGGGCCCCTAGGCCGTCCCTAGATCGTCCCTAGTGCCTAGAAGGCCTTCCAGGAAACAGGATGCATGGCTTGAATTTTTTTTTTAATTTTTTTGCCTAACTTTCCTGCCAGACCTTTGCGGCTTGCCCCTAAGTGCTTTGGAGCCTGCTGCTCCAGCTTGCATGTTGCACCAGAAAATCGGGAGCAAGGGTGTCGAATGGGCCAATGAGTTGGCACCGGCTACCGACCAATGACGGGCCGTTCGTATTCGTATAAATAGACCCTCACTGCCTAATCGAGCAGTGGGAGACGAGAATGATTCGATAGAAGGCCAACACCGAGAACTCTAGAAGCAAGTCTTTCAATGCGATGAAGCCACTTTCAAATTGCCCCCATCCAGTCGCCAATCGACGCCCTTTTCCACCTTTGAAACACTGTTGTCGTCAAGGGCTTCTGGTGCCCTCCGTCTTCGATTCGCTAGAAACAACCCCAGCCGACCCCCGTCCTTGTTGGCGGAAATCCGCGAATCTGCCCGAGGCAGGTACGAATAATACAGCGTCCAACGGTGGAATCCTGAGGTGGTCTGTGGCCACTCACATGCTCGCAATTGCCAACCTGGAACCCGAATAAGAATCCGAGGGCCAACCTCACCACCATCTCCATCTGCGCCTCATCATCGCACATATCCTGTATTTCCGATGGGACTCCAGCTTTTACCATGTCTTCAGCTTCGCAAGGTTCTGTCAACGTCAACTCTGCCATTGCATTCGTTGCCATCACTTCTTCCAGAGCGTGCGTCCGATATTCATGCTGGACGAGGGGATGACAGTTGCCCCTCCATTCTTGACACTTGCAGGAGAGACACCGATTAGCTAATCGTCGTTCTTGCGTCAGCCACAATCAAACGTCATCAGATCAAACTCGTGTTACTTACTCATCACGATTGTTCTTCGTGAATATGTCACTAGTCTAGGATGGAGCTCAAGCTCTTGTCGTTTCTCTGAAGCATGAAACGGGCTCTTACCATTCTAGTTGACGCTTCTGCAGCGTCTGACCGTTTCTGCAAAGCTGGGGGATTGGTGCAGCATGTAAACTTGGTATTAACCACTCCTCAATCACCGGCTTTATCAACATGTCATTCGTAGGTCCCATCGCAATGTTGTTAGACTGTCTTCAATCGAGAACACGTGGAAGACAATATGCCCCTGTCGCTTCTACGTACTTCGCTTTCCAGTCTTGCCATTGTACGAGATATCAGGGACCAAGTACATCTCACACTCCTTAGGTAAGATGGATGAGCTGCGGCACCTCGGATAACACTCCAGTGTTCGCAGTTGCGTTGCGGTAAGTTGGGACTCCAAGGACCCCGAGGGCCTCAGGAGCCGAATACGAGGTGCGGGTACAAGCCCGCTTGCAACAACTCGCCAAGCTCACGTTACTCAAGTTCCACGATAGATATATCGACGATGGACATGCGCGTGTGTGCTCGCGTCTAAACCTTTGACTTTTTGTTCTTCTTTTTTCTTACATACAACTGATGGACTCCTGGACTCCTCCCTTTTTGATAGACATCACCTAGCTATTTGTTCTTGATAGAAAGCCTAACGAAGGTCTGCTGGCTATCGCGCTGTTCTGAGGACATGTAGCTTACTCGACTCGGCGCAAGCGAGGTCATTTGGTGGCCCGATTTAAGCTGTATCTACGTGAGAACTTTGGCAGGGCTGTTGAATTGAAATCAATCGCGTCCAACTTCGTCGGTAGTCTACATTCTGTGTTCGCTTGCTCGCCTTCTATGTGATTTCATGACGAACTCGGGATATTCACCTTAAAACGGTGGTGTACGCCTTCTAGACTAAAGTTGTTGCGTTGAAAAGGACCAGAGTACTTGTTGCAAAGGGGTCTGCTACAGAGGGGTGGATGGCAGCCAGCAACGCTTTTTCCCACACAAAAGGGAGAGACTGTGAATTCCAAACGATCATGGTGACTTTACGTGTGGCGGAGGGTGTTGACAGTTTTGACGACATCAAGGTTGCATTAACTGTTATCTAAACACCTCGTTCCTTTTATCTAGCTTCAGTTCGGAGCGCTGCTAGGTTGAACCCGCTCTCCTGGTTGAAAGAAATCGATTCAATCCTGTGTTTATTTTTCATGTAAGATTTAATTTTAAGCTGCTTTTACCTTGATCAAAGTACGGGTCTTGCAAGAACGGGTCTTGGTATCTAGAGCGCACCTGCCAGAATAGGTATACACTCACGAGCCTCACCCAGGCGACGGAGGGCACCCCCAAAAGTCATACACGACCCGTAAAGACCACACTAGTCATCAGTAAAGGAGTACAACACTCCATTCATGTATATTTTGTCTTTTGGAGAGAACTGGACACTAGCAGCGCATTCACTTCGCTCCGTTTACATCGTGCTATTCCAAGACTCAACTAGGGCTGGCCAGCTTAACTACGGCGAACGCCAGCGACAACAGAGAGAGGCAAGAAAAGTTGACTGCAGAATGTCAACAGAGGTCATGCTGTACCTCAGGCTATCAGATAAAAGCTCTGCTAGTACTTCACGTGAAGCAGAGAATAGTATCGAGGGCCGAAAGGTCTCGGCACCAAACGGACGGCAAGCGATCTCGACAACAAAGACAAAAAACAAAAACAAAAAAGAAATCACCCTTTTTTCATGGCCCTCGACGTGTTTCGAATGAGCGCCCCCCTCAGACTCAGTTTGCATATCTGGAGGAGAATTTGTTTTAGCTATTCGCTTTTACCAACTGGGCCACTTGGCAGCCGAACTGTTGAAAGGCTGTGAGACGAAAGCTGGCTAACTAGCTTCGGGGCTGGGAAGGAAGCTCACTTGGCAAAAACAAGAGGTTCTATAGTGCCTGCCTGCCTGCCTGCCTGCCTGCCGTTGGTCGTGAGAGTTGGGTTGGCCCAGTCGACTACGCACGTCGCACGCTCGTCATCACCCACGACAAACACACCGCAGGAAACGTGAGAGAGAAGAGCAAGAAGAAAGTGCTTTCCGTATGACTTACTTCTTCTCTGAGAAATCAGCTCCAGCCGATTGTATATGGATCTAGTCTCACGGCATTTCATCCGGCACTCCGCGTTTTTAGTAAGGCGACTGCCACATGTATGATGCAACATCGTTTACCCTAAACTGCGGATCATCGACATGATATATATATGACCATGTGCATGATCTGCGAGACCAACGCAATGCAAAGTAGATCAATCGTCCGGGGTCTATCTAAACCTCAGTCTTGACGTGGTCGCAAACAAACGGGTGAGGTCGACGATCCCCCGTATTACGCAGCAAAGGGGCACCTGCCTCCAAGCGAGAGACAACACCAAGTAGCCGGCTGCACTACATCACCAACGGGTAGGAACATGCATCCGGGCAGCGTACGATGGTGACAGAACAAATCATTTAGCTGAAACCCAGACATGCCCCCTCCCCGCGTGATCCAAAACATATGCGCCTCTGGGGTTTGCGCATTAGTTTCTTTCACGGCAGCGAGAAATAGCACACGAGTCTAATTTTACTGTTTCTTTTATTTTGTTTTGCTTGCTAGCTAGCTATTGTCTCGAATGCAGCCGTGCCTCGAAGGAACACAGACCGCTTCGGCATCGTGGTATAGTGTTATGTTTGTTTTGGTTTTTTGTGCGTGTAATATGATTAGATGTGGCAGTAACGACCGTCGGCTGTTTCTCTGTTCTCAGCCTCAATGCATGCGAAACGCTGCTCCTTGAAGCACGTTTGCAGAGGTATCTCTTTGATGAATCCCGGGAACCTTTAAAAACCAAAAACCATGTCCAAGTATCGTAAAGAAAAAGGAAAATAAAGACCGCATGGGCCTTCGCTGTTGACGCCGTACACCTGGAACCGTGCAGATGAAGTAGATGTTGAATGCTGTCCTCATGGCTCGGCTGAGCGAGCCATACATGCCCTCCTGTCGAGTCTTCTTAGAAAGTAAGGCCAGTCCACCCGTACGGGCCGTCGACATTGATCCAGTTGTGGTGCTCCATTGCGCGCTCCCAACCCATCATGACGGCCAGCAGACGGCAGCCCATCGCACTGACGGTGCAGATGACCGTGTCACTAGCATCGGCCAGCACGGCCAGATCCATCAAATAGGCGCGGCCAACGTAGCTCCGGAGACGGAGTGCTTCGGCCGAGGGGGCTAGTTGCTTGTTCTTGGCTGTCGCAGCGTTGGAGGCACTCATGGAGGACAGGCCAAGGTTCCAGAACATGGCGGCAAAGAAGCCGCCCTCCCAGCCGAAAGCCTCATCCTCAAAGTGGTGCATGACGTGCCTGTCGGGGGTAGCCTTGTGGACTTCCTGCTTGGACGCCAGGCGAATCTGCTCCTGTGCACGCATAGAGCCCTTGAAATCCTCAGCATCGTAGACTGTCGGGTCGTCGGAGGCAAGGACAATGAAGGACTTGCGCTTGGCGAGCTCGTCGTCACCCCCATCGACACCGGTGCCGTTGTGCTTGCTGTCAATGACCTCCTGAGCAGCGTTCGCAATGATCTCCATCGGAATGTAAGTGCCGTGGTACTGGTATTCGGTAGGGTGGCAGTCGCCATGTCGGACATGAACGCCGACAAC